CAAGCGACGCCCAAGGCACACCTGGACGAGGCGCGCGAGGCGTCGACGAGGCGCCGACGGGCGGGCACCGCGCGAAAACCCAGCGCACCCAGCCAGGGCACGGGGCGGCGACCTGGCGGCGACGGGCGGCCCCAGGGGGAAGGTCATGCGCAGCCTCGAGGATCGGGGGTCGAAGGCTCGAGCCTCGGCCCTCTCGACCCTCGAGCCTCGATCTTTCGCCCTCGACCATCGAGCCTCGAAGCTCGACCTTCGACCCTCGAGCCGCGACCCTCGAACGCATGAGCATAGGGGAACCACTGTTTCTTCGCGGCACGGCAGGGGCACTCCGCTTGCGCACTGTAGTAGCTGGGACGGAGCGCATTAATTGTCCGGATGCAAGAGAAAGATGCCGGGCAGAGGGCGGCCGCGGAGCAAGGAGGAAGGGGGAGGGTGGCCACGGAGCATATCACCGAGCGCGCTCCACTCCTCGCAGAGTGCTGGCTTGCAAAGGTTCGAAAAAAGCACGTGTCCGCCTCGTTGCAATGGATCGTAAGTTCCCCGCGGCGGATCCAGGCCATTCGCGAGTAGCGACTTTGCGAGTAGCCGAGCGCGATTGTCTGGCTTAGGGGAACAAGCATTTGCATAAACATGAAAATTCGGAGGTCCGCGCGGATTTCTCGGATCGGCGCGGGGGCCCCTTGGCGGCGCCTCTGGCGCCGCCCTCGTCGCGCTCCGTGCGCCAGGAAGGCGGGTCCAGCGCCGATCGGAGAAATCCGCGCGGAGCTCAGAGTTATCATGTTTATGTGATTGCTTGTTCCCCTAAAGCGTGAACTCCTTAGTGCAAAGTCTGTTTGGGGAGTGACGAGGGCGCGCTGGTAGCTGACCTGGAGGACGCTGTCTTCTCCGACGGTCGGCATGACTCGGACGTCAGACCCTCGAGCGATCTGGGTAAACTTAAGCAGCCGTGCTGCGCACTTGAACATGGACGGAGGCCGTCGTCTCGACGGGAAGCGTGCATCGTTTGGTGGCATCAGCGTGACGGCCTGGCGCCTAAGCGCGCAGAGCATGCGCTTTCGGAGGTCCCCGCGGATTTCTCGGGTCGGCTCTGGACGCACGCCGCGGGCCACCACAGGCCAGTTCTTGCGTCTGTTCCTCATCCTCCTCTTGTTTCCATCCTCCATTCCCCTCTCCTTCTTTTCCTATTCCCCTATTCCCTCACCTATCCGCATCCTTCTCGTCCTCCTCCCCTCCTCTCCTCCTGCCTCCACCTGCAACTCCCCCTTATTGTCCCCTGTCCCCTTCTTCCCCTTCCCTTCTCGTTCCTTCTATATCTCTCTCTCTCTCTCTGACACACTCTTTATTTCCCATATCAAAAGGATGGGGTTATTGTTATTTCTCCGACCGCGCCGACTCCTTCACTCCTTCCTCCTCCTTCTCCTCCTCCTCCTCCTCATGAAACGTTTGAACAGTTATGGTGTGAGTTGTTATGACATGCTATGGCATTGTATGCTCTGACATTGTAAATGTTGTTATGGTGTGCTATGTTAACTCATGTTATGGTATGCAATGATGCGGTGTGTCATGTTATGGTGTGGGTTTGTATAATGTGTTGTGTTCTGCATGTGCTGATATGAATTGGTATGGTATGATATAGTGTGGTACGTGATGCTTTGGTATGTCATTGCGATGGTATGATATGGTGTTATATGCTATGACTTGCTGTGGTGATGGTGGTGAGGATGATGTCGATGATGGTGGTGGCGGTGATGATGATGATGATGATGATGATGATGATGATGATGATGTTGATGAACCAGATGATGCTGATGTTGGTGATGATGATGATGATGTTGATGTTGATGGTGCTGCTGATGATGATGATGATGATGATGATGATGATGATGCTGATGCTGATGATGATGATGATGGTGGAGGAAATTCGGATAATGTCTCGAGCGAGGCGCGGGTTCCAGCACCCCCAAGGGGGAGCCGCCATGGGGTATCTCACTCCTCCGTTCGCGCCCAAATTGCGCGAGTGTCTCGAGCGGGGTGCCTGTATTGGTTCCCAACATCCTCCGCATTGGGAGCAGATTCTGAGGATGTCCCGAGCGAGGCGGCGCTGGTTGTCGGCCCCAGGGGGGGGGGGCGCCAGGGGGTAGCTCACGCCTCCGTTCGCGCCAAAATGGCGGGGATGAGGGGGGGAGGGCGCCAGGGGGTATCTCACTCCTCCGTTCGCGCCAAAATGGCGGGGATGTCTCGAGCGGGGTGCTGTTTTTTTTTGTTCCCAACATCCTCCTTTTTGGGAGCAGATGTCGAGGATGTCTCGAGCGAGGCGTTGAGGTCCGCCCCCCGGGAGGGGGGGGGGGGGGGCAAATGTTGAGGATGTCTCGATCGGTTTGCTTGTGTTGGTGGCCAGGCTCGTGGGCACAGGTTCCCCCCAGGATGCCGCAGGAGGCCCCAGCACGCTCCTGGAGGCACCCGGAGGCCACACGGGGTCCCAGGAGGCATCAGGAGGCCACAGGAATGCTAAAGTGACCACAGGGTGCCCCAAGAGGCACCAGGAAGCTCCAGGAGGCCTCAGGAGGCTCCAGGATGCCCCAGGAGGCCACAAGAGGCCAAAGTATGCCCCAGGAGGCCACAGGCCAGGCGGCACCAGGAGGCCACAGGAAACGCCAGGAGGCAACAGGAGGCCCCAGGAGCAGGAGGCCTCAGAAAGTCACATGAGTGGTTCCAATACAGTGTGTTCTACGTATGTCACTTTATGTTGGGCACCATTTGAAGCACGATTATTTGGTACTTCACGCAGGTTTCTACAACGTGTCATTAACCTGCGTGTTCAGTCCTAATTGTTTTACGTGTACTCCTACATGTTGGGCCTCCCTAGGGGCACGAATCCTTGATGTTTAACGTGTGTTCCTATGCGTTGCCCTTCTCTTGCGACTCCACTGCGTAGTGCTCTATGTATGTAAGTTCCTGTAGATTGGGCTTCCCCTGGGGTACGAATCCTCCCCAGGAGGCCCCAGGAGGCTCCAGGAGGCATCAGGAGGCCACACGAGGCCCCAGGGGGCCTCAGGAGGCCACAGGACGCCCAAGAGGCCCCAAAGGCCCCAAGAGGCCTCAGGATGCCACAGGAAGCTCCAGGAGATTCCAGGGGGGCCCAGGAGGCCCCAAGCTCATGCGCAGAGACGCGCTCTTGTTATTGAGACTCATTCTTACTCCAGCTAATTCACAATTGGATTCACTCCCAGACAGTCAATACTCAAGCCCGTTGTGTTCGAAAGCTCTTGCGCCTAGACACTCACGGCGGACAGGTCCATGCTCATAGGTGGACATTTGAGGAGCTCCGCGCAGTGAGTCAAGTTCATCTTCTCCCTCACTCCTACCCCCCACTTTCCTCCTTCCTCATCATGCCTCATCGCTCGTCCTGTGTATCTCCTCGTACTCATCCCCCATCACTCCTCTCACCACCCTCTGTCTCCCCCTATCACGTCTCTCCCCCCTCCTCCTTCCAAACTCTATCTCCATTTTCTCCTCCATCCCCTTACAACTGTAGTGCCCATCCTGACACCCTATTTCTCCTCCGCTTCCTCCCCCCTGCCTCCCTCACCCTCTCTCCCCTCCTCCTTGATCACTCCCCCCCCATTCCCCCTCCCCTCTCCTGCCCCCCTCTTCCTCCACCTGCCATTTCTGCCCACCTCCCTCCTCTCCCTCCCCCTTCCGCACCTTTCTGTCCTTCAGTCTCCCTTATACTGACTGTTGACCCCCAGGTAGTTCTTGAAGCATCGATCATCGAAAATCATTTCACGATGGCTGCACAAGCTACCGAAAGCAACCTGAACACGTGAAACAACGCATGCAGCTCGCCTGACGAATTGTGAACACATCCGAAAGTTTTGTGAACACATCCGAAATCTTGAATTCCGAAGCCTCTCCATACATTCAGTACATGCTCCCTTCGTCCCTCCCTCCTTGCTGTTATTCTTTCACACCATTATCCGTTTTGTCCTTCCCTCCGTCTTGCCTCCTCCTCCACCTCCCTAGATATCACCTGGGCCTCGCCCTCCACTTCCTTGGGTTTCTTTCCTCTTTCTCCTAACTCCTCCGCTCAACAGCATCGCGATCGTAATTGCTGCCTGGGCTGCGATGCCCGCTATATCCGTGAGCTCTATAACAAGTGTGTGAACCCTCCCGCGAGCTGGTGCAGCTGGCCTTGGGTCGGCCTCTGCCCAGTGCCGCTATGTTCGCCATCGGCCCTGTCGACCCGTCGTTAGTCCGAAATGTCGCCAGCACCAGGCCAGGCCCGGTGAAGCCTTGCACCAGACAGTGCGCGAGCACAGGAGAAGGTGGAGACCACGTGAAGCCTCTCACACATTGCGAAGCGAAGACGTGCAAGCATATCAGGAATCGGATCGAAACCTTTCAAAGCCTTGAGACAACTTCCGAGACTTTCGAAAACAGTCCTTCCTCCTCCCTCCACCACCCCCCTTGGTTTCCCTCCTCCTAATCCTCCGCCCCTTCCCTATCCCCTCAAAAGTCGATCCGCAGACCTATCCTGGGGAGGCCATCGCGAGCTAAAGAATCTATGGCGCCTTTTTTCGATCCTTCCTCTCTTCGCTTTCTTCCTCCCCCCTGGATGGGGCGCAAGGGGCTTCCGGTGGGAGGGGCGGCCGACCGAAGCACAGCTTGGTCTACGGCCCCGCGCGGCCTGAGGCCGAAACTGCGAAAAAAGCCAGAGCAGTTTTCCAGGGCCCCCTCCCTCCGCCCCTCCTCCCGCCAAGGGGGGGGGGAGGGGACGACGAGGACGACGACGACAATTACGACGACCACGACCACGACGAACGACGACCACGACCAGGTATGACCACGACACGACCACGACCACGATCACAACCGCGACCACGACCACGAGCACGACCACGACCACGACGACGACGACGACGACGACGACGACGACGACGACCACGACGACGACGACGACTACTGCGACTAGGGCGACGACCACGAGGAGCGGGGCGGCCGAGGTACAACACGGTCTGCGGCCTCACGCCGCCCCAGACCGCGCCGCACCTCCAGGAGGGGCCTGCCTGCCTGCTCGGTCGATCTCGTCGTCGCCGTCGCAGCCGTGGGCGTCGTCGTTGGTGTCGTCGTCGTCGTCGTCGTCGTCGTCGTCGGTGTCGTCGTCGGTGTCGTCGTCGCCAGCGTCTTCGGTGCCGGTGTCGCCCCCCCATGAGAGAAGCACGAAAGGGAAGGAAGGGAGGGCGAGGAAGAGGAGGAGGAGGAGGAGGAGGAGGAGGAGGAGGAGGAGGAGGTGTTGGGATGTCGCTTGCCAGGTGGCCAGCGATTCCCAAAACACGGCGTGCACTACATGCTCCTCGTTCAGGATCCGCAGGCCGCCTCACGAGGTGGACGGCGACGAGCCAGCGGCCTTTTTCCACGCTCCTCCAGCTCTACCTTTTGGATCGGGCGGCTCCACTGCCGATGGACAGAGTCTTACGCCCGATACTTTCCGGCTGATCTTGAATGAGCAGCTGGACCCGATCCAGAAGGACATCACAGCCATCAAGACCAATGGAACATCACAGCATGAACTCCAGAAGGTGGTCAACACATTGAAGCACGATATCAACGACCTCACCAAACGCGTTAGGTTATTGGAACCAACTTACAAATCCCGACCGCATTCGGCCAGGTCAGCGTCACATACTTCGACGATGTCCGCTTTGGAATCTAAGCTCCAGGACTTAGAGCATCAATGTCAACAACTTGGCCTCCCAACGCCGCCTTCGAAAAGGTTTCCTGCCGATGGTGATGGCAAGCGTATGGTCACAGCAGTTGTGGGTAATCCATCTGGGTTTGACTCTTGTGCTGCAGCTTCAGCATGGCTAAGAAATACTTTACGCGAGCTCGCAGCGCCGACCGCACAGGATATCTACTCAAAAGGTGCATTCCGCAATTTTTTCCAATATCGAGGACGACCGCGACCTGGCTGTCGGGATGCTGCGCGGATCTGGGCCGGCCCACGCAGGTACGAATACTTGGGCTATTCAAGCCCAGTCTCCCACGTTACGTGCGGTCCGTATTTTTTTGCTTTGGGTTGACAAGTACTCTCAAAGAAGATTTGGGTAACCCATACAATATTAATGTCGGTGGTGAGACTGCGGTGTAGGTGACAGTGGCAAGCAATCAATTGGTACTTGATTGGTTGGAGAAGTGGAGAGCTTGGGGAGAGCTCCAAAACCACCCCAAATTCACATGATCGACTGACACAAACAATGCTATTGGACCGGGCCGCTGCTGGTATGCAAGGGTCTGCCAAGGGACAGTCCAAAGGCGGCCAGAGCTCCAAATAGGAAACGCGGCTGGACCCCAGAGCTCGCCACTACCTTGTAGTCTCTGGAGCTGGAGCCGGCCAGACCACATCTCAAGCCTTCGGTGCCAATAGGTGCACGATTATGGGCAAATATACCATCATGCAGCGCTACGCGGACGCTTCACCACTTTTTCCGCTTGGGACTACTCCATCCCCTTCGTCCTCCACGGCGTCGTGTTCTCGATTCCACCTCGGCCAGACCTCCGGCTTCAAACGTGGGCAAAGTCAGGAAGCACATGCTTCACCTCTCTACTCCAATCGACGTCAACATCAACTACATATGTTTTCCTTTTTTGTCGACATATTATACTGTTCCCGCCAGTCCCTCCTTACACGAGGCGCCGCATGACCCAGCCCTGGGCAAAGATACCGTACCGGGCACGCCGGTCATCAATGTTGAAGTCATTTCACATGTCCCAGACGAGTATTGTATTTCGCGGTGTCCTTCAGCGACGCCTCCGATTACATCTACACCACGGGCCACATCAGGATCAACGCGCGTTGGTAGCAATCAGGAGATTTTGTCCCATCACTTGCCCCCAGGGCATGGTTGGAAGTACACTTTCTGGGGCATCCCTTAGTTTTCGATCTTGCCTGTCTTCTTGGAGAGGGCCGAGGAGCGCATGCCAGTCATGTAAACTACAACGAACTCGAAACTGGAAGTTTCAGGGTCTCCGCGGCGATTTGACCAGCAAGGTCACACAGCTGCTGCGGACCATGGATAATCACGACATCGATGCATTGTGCACCCAAAAGACACATAGTAATGGCGCCGAGTACTACACGCAAGCAGGTTTTTCGATATTATTATCTGGCAGTGTTGGCGTTGGCTTCATTGTGTCTCCCCGCGTACGCCTCGCAGTTGTACCCTTCAAGGCGTGCGGTGAACGCATTTGTATGCTACGATTGAGAGTATATGGTGGTATGCTGATCCTTTTGTGTGTGCCCCCCCAGAGTGGCATCGATTATGAATCGAGGCAGCTGTTTCTCAATAGACTGCAAGATGCGATCCGCCCCACCACGGGGCACTCCGCATCATATGTTCTTGGAGATTTCAACGCCAGGTTCTGTCTAGTACAGGCTGGCGAATAACACATTGTCGGCCCGCACCTTTACAGGACCGCGTGCAACAACGAGTCGCACTCGAACTTGAACCACCGTATTGACTCATGTGTTAATTGCAGCCTGATAGTGGCCCATACTTTTTTTGATCAGCTTGATTACTGCGAAGTTTCTTACCGCCACTTTTTCGTACCGCCGATGACAAACATAGATCATGGAAGGTTCGGGCAGATTGACCACATGTTGTGTCATCAAGACAAAACGACCACTATCTACTATCATGTGTTGCTGAATTTGCCGGTAAGTTTCATTAAACGCGCACAATTTTCTGACGATTGTAGACACTTCGATACAGTTCAAGGTGGAGGAGACCATCAAAGGAAACGTGCTGCTAGAAGCTCCCTCAAAGACGCTGCGATTAAATATGTTTCTCTCATTCGCGAACGCAGCCCGCGCTGACAAGAGTTGGACGTTGTAGGAGGCCGCGGCCGATATGCAACGAGCGATCCAGGAAGCAGCGCCGACTTTGCCGGGCACCGCTGACATGCCCAGACATCCGTTGAAAAGTCAGCGGACACTCGATGTGATCACCGGGCGGGGCATCTGTTGTCAAACAAGGAATTGCATCAATGAGAAGCGCCTCGACAAGATGATCCGCAGGTTTGAGAGACAGGATCGCAGAACATGGTTGGAATAATCTCTTGACGGAGGTGGATAGGGAACAGTTCGATTTCTCCAACCAAGGCCGGTCAAACACGCAGCTATCAAGAAACCAGATGGGATGCTATCTGACACGACCGAAAGGGCAAATATCATGGTTTACTATTTCGAGGCAGTACAATGGCAACGACCATACCCAGAACCACAACCAGAAGCGTTGCATTCTCGGGGATTTGTTTTGGTTCCCGTCCGCACAGACAATTTTACATTTGATGGTTTGCTGAAGGAATTACATCGACTAAGATGTGGAAAAGCTGCTGGCCTCGACGAAATCCCTTCTGGTTTCTGGACGACGCTCATGCACGATAAAAGCGCAAGCGGTGCATTACTACAATTATGCGAACAATGTTGGGTTAAAATTGGTATCCCGGATTCTTGGAGACGAGCCACTGTAGTTCTTCGATTCAAAAAGTGAGGTACGGCGTTATCAGAAAATTACATACCGACTTCATGGTATTCAGTTGGTTACAGGATTCTGGCGGCGATGATTCATCAGAGACTGCTGCAGGGTGGTTCCGAGAAGCGCACGCGCGCCTCTCAATGCGGATCCCGCCCCAGACACGGAACCGCAGAAACCTTCATGCTTGCGAGACGTATGATTGATGTTGCACACTCACACGTGGATGGGAGGCTATTTGTATTGATGCTTGACAGGGCTAAAACTTCTGTCCGATTGTCAGCCGGACTCAATGTGTAAAGTTTTGGGGGATTCGGGCTCCCCGCCGTCGTGGCAACGGCGCGCTCGATTTATTCGGCCCGCTTCTTTGTCATCCAGGACCACACCGGCACCTCCGCTGAGAGACTGCAAAGTGCTGGAATCGCACAAGGGTGCCCGCTATCTCCATACTTGTTCATGGTACTCCAGACAGCTATGCTGCACGGCGTGATCGACGCGCTACGTCTAGACAGAGAACCCGGATACGTGGTGACCCGGGATGTCATCTTTGCTGGCGACACATTAGTTGTGTCTCAACACTAATCAAATCTCCAGAACATGTTGACAGCAGTAGTTGAAGAAGGACGCAACTACGATTTGGAACTCAATTGGGGGAACACAATACACATTCATATCTCAACAAACCACGGCGCCTGGTTGGGATGCTATTAAGACTGTGCGGGACGCTGTATACTTGGGAGGCTTAGTCACATGCGATGGGAAAGCGACCGCCGAGCCATGCATAATATTGGGGGAAGCTAACAAAACGTCCAAGCAGCTCAGCAAATTTTGGTTCCATGCATGTCTAGGGTGGAAACGACAACACAAGATCTACGACAGCGTCGTTCTGAGCAGGCTCGTATACGCACTGGACTCTTATGTGGCTGTTGAAGGCAGGCAGATGAAGGTGCGATGCGTTTCACTGTTGCTACTTAAGACGTATAGCGGGCATGCAACATTCATTCTTCTCAAATGTGAACAGCGCGAGAGTCTTCAACAGGGCAGGGGCGAAGCCGCTTTCAGAAGTATCACGCGATCTACAAACTTAAACTGTTTAAGAAAATGTCACCACATGGGCCTACTTGGTGAGGGGAATTGTTTGCAATCGCGAGGGGACGCCGAAACATTGCGCTGTCAAGCGCAGGCGTGGACGACCGCGACGGCAACGTGCATCTGCGGCTTGCGACCTGTCGAGGGGCACCTGGGTACGCCAAGCAGCTTCTACATTTGCCATTCCCCGTACTTTTCCTCATTTCCCCCTCCCCTCCCATCCTCGCTGTTCCTCTGCTTCACAGTCGGGCGCGTGTATTCTCTGTTTCGCAGTCGTGATGCGCTCCGTTTCTCTGCGTTGCGTTCCATTTGCTGCTTCCCAGTCAAATTTTCCGCGCGCGCAATCAGTTTGCAACGTCTCCCCAGCACGTTTTGAAGAGTTGCCACCTGCGCAGTATTGTTGCCCACGCGTCCTCGCGGATGCTCGGCTTTGTGGTGGTTGCCGGGTTGCCGCCCGTGCCGCCTCGTGGGCGGTCGTGGGGGCCCCGTGCGTTAGGGTGGTTTGTTTGCCTAGGTTGTGCCACGTTGCGCACGTACCCTCTTGTGGGCGCTCGTGGCGCCCCGTGTGCTGGAAGGGTTCGCAGAGGTTGCGCCAGGTTGCCGCCCGTGCCGTCTCGTGAGCGCTCGTGGGCGCCCCGTGCGTTGCGCTTACACCGCGTAGCTTACACAACTTACACGATTTAGCTTTGGCCACAGTGTTTACACCGCAAAATTACGTAACAGAGCTTACGCCACACATATTCGACCTCATTGATTCCACATCCAGCTTGCCTCGCATCGCTTTCACCTTCGTACTTCACACCACATTGCTTATACAAAATAGCTTACACCACACAGCTTGCACCGCATAGCTGCCACCTCCACAGTCCCAGTAGCTCGGTGTTTGAGGTCCACGCTGGCTAACATATTTGATGTTTTCCGCGGCCCCGCTTGGGTGAAGCTCGCCACGTTGTGAATTTGGATTCTGCGGTATGTATCCATACGTCACCCTTTTTACCCTGAACATAATCCATCTGGAGTGATTGCATGGTAGCGGAGCGAGGTCACTACGGCAGCAGATCCCGCAGCAGCAGCTGCTGCAGCGACGCAGCTTGTGACGCAAACGGATGGGAACAATACGCAGCACTGGTGGTCGGCGAGCTCCCCACCAGGTGCCAGCTGGGCGGATTGTCCTGCCCAGTGCAGTCGCAGATGCGCCCGCCGAGCTGATTTATAAGGGACGGCTGAGGATTGCCTGCGGCGGGCCCGCGGGGGGCATGCGTGTCCGCGTGGATGCCGCCGCAGATACATCTGCCGAGCTGATCGCCCGCTACCGCGGGAAAAGGGTAGTCATACCACAACCCTTCGCCAGTTATCCCCTTATTCAGCCTCATGGGAGGCCTTCGTCGCCACCGCTGGATTCGCTTCGAAATCCTGGTCCGGGAAAGTTGAGGATGGCCGCCCTGGTCGTCAACGATGCGGGGGCGGGGCGCCGGGGTTTTCGGTGGGAACTGTTGGATAGCGTGTCGCTCCGCCGCTTCTGGCCCACCGCGCCTCGGCGCGACACGCTGTCCACTTTCCCATTCCGGGGCTTCCACGTCCCGAGCCTTCCCGAGCCTCACGCCCCGCGGAGCGGAGCGACACGCTACCCGCTCGCAGGGGACAGCGTGTCGCCGGGGCCGCCGCCGCGACACGCTAAGCAAAAGTTCCCGACATGCACTGTCGTCGCGGGCGAGACGGTGCGGATGGGCCCCGTGGAGCTCTGGCCCACGCTGCGCGCGCCTTCAGACTGGCGGGCCCGCCGGACCGCGGTCCCCCTCGGTTTTCCCGGCGCGCGGGCATCCGAGGTATGTTTGAGCAGAGGCTGCCTGAGCTCGGCATCGGGGGTGGGCGCCGTCCCTGCGCGCCCGCCGCCGTGGGGGCGGCGTCGCGCGATCTCTCGACGGGCGCTCGCTCGAACGCCCCGTAGTCGATGCGCACGAGGGGGGCGGGCGCGTTTTTGAGCAGGTCTGCGCGGAGGTGTGGCACAAGGGCGCGCGCGTGCGCAGGAGCCGATCCTGGACCTGCCGACGGGGGGCGCAGAGGTCGGCGACGCGGCGTTCAGCCGCGCCGCGGAGCTGATCCCGCCCGCCCGCGCCGCGGGCTCCTAGTTGCTGCGCGTGCCGCTCCTGCCCGCGACGCGCACCGCGGGCGTCGCGGAGCGGGGGCCCTGTCTGACCAGGAGGTCGGGGGCCGCATGGCTTCGGTGCCCGGCCGCGCGCACCGGCGAGTACCACGCCGCCGTCGGCGCGTTTCGTTCGCGGTTGGACCCCGCGGGGGCCCCACGCGCAAAGCGTTGATGCGACCAGGTTCGGGGCGTCCCAGTCTGCATGCGCGGGGGGCGAAGCCCGAGCTCAGCCTAGGCTCCAAAGTCGATCGAGTCTTCGGCTGGACCCGCTGATCAACTTTTTGCGACCTGTGGAAATTGCTGCCTTGCGGCTCGCGATTTGCGGCGCCGCCTGTCACGCCAGCGACCTGCAGGGTAGACAGGGCGAGGCTGCCGTCGCCTCGAAAGCGCCTACACTCCAGGGCGGCAATTTCGAGATGGGAGTTACTCTCATAATAGTTCGCGCGTTCATTCAGTGTGTCATGCCAGTTTTTCCCTAGGCTGGAACCCTCGCTATAGCTCGTATTTGGCCACGTCGCGCCCATCTTATGAACACGTCGAATTGGATATGTGTTAGCGAGGGTGCGGCACCATATCGTATGGTCGATGTTTTGTTGCTATTGCCATTGTTTGAAACGCGTTACGTGGTCCTCTCCGACCGACGGCAATGTGCAGCCGTTTTCGGGGCAGCCCAGTGAGGTTTGATAGCTGGACGGCCAGCTGCTTCCAGGCATACCGCTTCCCGTTTCCTCACTGGAAGCCGGCGGTAAACCATCAAGTTTGGTTACCGCCGGGAGCTCGTAGAGTTTCCTTGCCATATATATATATATATATATATACATATACATATACATATGTGTGTGTGAATGGCATGCGAGCGCGGCAATCTCGCATTCAGCGCGCGCGAGGGTGTGCGGTTTCAGAGAATTGTGCTTGACAGCTCCTTGCTTGTCCACAGCTCGAGTTCAGTTGAGACAAACACCCACACAAGAAAGTACACGACATAAGCTGAACAGATGTATAATATATATATATATATATATACTACGGAACTCTCGTCACGTGTAGAGCATGCGAGCTTGGTAGCTGTTTGCACAGCACAAATAGTTTGTCGGTCGCAGCTCTGGTAGCAGACCGATCTCAGACGTCTCGATACTGCAGACTTTCGTTCGTGACCATTTCCATTCGAACAGTCTGCCTACAGCTCGAACTATGTAGAGAAAACCAGCACCGCCTATCTAAAATTTGAAGAGCGCAGCTAGTTTTTAGTCGCAGCTCTGGTAGCAGACCGATCTCAGCCGTCCAAATGCTTTAGACAAGCGCTTCTTAGCATGCCCTGACGATTGGTGTATATCTGAGCTCCGTAGCTACCCTACAGCTCGAATGAATACTGAAACAGATATCATCTCTCACTAAAAGTTGCAGGGTTCCAGTAGCTTTTCAGTTGTAGCTATGGTAGCAGACCAATCCCAGACGTCTCGATACTGTAGGCGACTCTGTCTGCGGATTTCCTGTTGAACGGTGTGCTTCCCAGCTCCCTAGCTCGCCTGCACCTCGGATTAACTACAGAAAACCAGCACAATCCCACACAAATTCAAGAGTGCAAATAATTATCTGCAGACCAATCTCAGGCGTCTGGATACTTTAGACTGGTGCTCATCGGCATTTCCTGCCGATTGGTCTGCACATCGGCTCCGTAGCTGGCCTACAGCTCGAATTCAATTGAGGAAGCGCACATCATCTCTCGAACCATATTTAGAGTGCGAACAGTTTTTTAGCCGCAGCTCTGATTGCAGGCCGGTTTCAGACGTCTCGATATTGAAGGCAAATGTGCATGATGCGTTCTTGTCTGAAGGTGTGTTTCCCAGTTCTGTAGCCAGCCTACAGCTCGAATGAAGCAGAGAAGATTAACAGCATCTCTTAAACACTTAGGTGCGTACAAACAGCTGTTTGGTCTCAGCTCTGGTAGCAGACCGATTTCAGGCATCTAGATACTTTAGACTAGCAATCCTGAGGCTTTCCTTTCGATTGCTGTGCCGAACAGCTCCGCACTTCATCTGCAGCTCGAGTTAAGTTAAGAAGACCGACAGCACCTGCCAAGCTGACATTCAACCCCCGATCCCGCCTGAGTGCTTTTTGACAGTAATATCCACCCGATCGACCTGAGATCAAGATGGCGAGCGGGAGTAAGATCGAACATGGGGGGAAATTATTAGAACTCTAACGAATGGTTGGACTTGGAGAAACTGATTTTTAAACCGACCAAAACTATGCAAAACTTCCGTCGGGATTTTTCGAGCAAGCTAGCCCGCCAGCGCGCCCGAAGTATTCTTAAGCTTCGCCGCTTCGCTCATAGGGAAGCTCTACAAGTCAAAAATGCGGCCGACTAGGTTGCGCAAGTCAGTGGTGACAGTGAGAATGGGCGGCCGCGCTCGCGGAATATCAGTTTAGCGTCATCTGTCCACAAGTGCATTTTACCAAGTCAATTTTGTAGTTCCATCGCTGTCTGCCCCCGCCGCCCAGTCTGACAAGTGCAGGAGTATACCGCAATATCCGCTGCGCGAAGGGCTGTAATTGCAAGGTGCTCCGCTGATATATCGAGTCATGGCGGCGGCACCCCACTACCGCAGAGTGAAACACTGTGTGCTGTTCTTTGCCAGTGTCAGGGAACAGGTACCGCAATCCATCCATGTTCAAGTTCCACGCCTGCTTGCCGTCGCGTGAGGGCGCGCCAGCCTATGTGAAACGTTGTTTCGCGAGCGTCGCTCGGTGTCAGTTGCAGAGCTTCCGGCCGTTGCCCGTCGGCTTAGCACGTGCAAGCAATGTGCGTTGCACTTAGTGGGTTTAATGTGCGAAGTTTTTCTGGTTCATACTGCATCATGGCACTCGTGTCCCGCCGCGGCATCATCATCATCATCATCATCATCATCATCATCACCACCACCACCATCATCATCATCATCATCATCATCATCATCATCATCATCATCATCATCATCATCATCATCATCATCATCATCCGCATCATCAGCATCGTCATCATCATCATCATCATTATCATCACTATCACAAGCATGATCATAAGCATGATCATCATCACCACCATCCTCTGCATCAGCATCATCATCAACCACATCAGCATAGCCATTACCATTGTCGTCATCGTCTTCTGGCTGGTTGTTCACGTCATCGTCTTTTCCATTTTGCCGTGCCGCAAAGTCTTGTGACCAGCGTTTGCCATGGTGATTTTCGGAGGAGGCGGGAGCGGCATAGCCGCCGCCAGGAGGGCTCCGTGAGGAAGTTCTTAGCCTCCGTGATCCAGCAGGGCGTGCCGATGCAGGCCGCAATTTCTGCCACCGCCATCGCCTCCGCAGCGCTCCTACCTTGTGACCCCGAGGTGGAAGGGAAAAGGTAGGATGAATTGGTTTGGTTTGATCCGGCTTGGCTGCGCAGGCTGGCCTGATTCTGGCGTCGCTTACACCGCGTCACCGTTCTTTTGCATCACGTCGTCGATCTCTCCCAAGGGGAAGGTTGCGGCCGACGTTTTCAAGGAGTGCTCAGGAAGAGTCGCCGCCCAGGTCACACGTGGGCCAGCGAAGTCAGCAGACGCGGCGCTGATGTCAGAGAGGCTTGTGAGCTTCTTGGTGAAGGCGTGCAGTCAACCCGCATGGCAAGGATGATTGAATTCCCAAGGATACCCTTGCATCCTTGCCTTTTCGCTTATCTTCCATCCATTATCGTGGACTTTCGATGGCCAGCCCCTCCAAAGAGCCTCGGCAGTGGCGTCAAAGGCCCTTGCGTCCTTACCGCGCATCCTTGTTATACGGGTTGACTGTAGCGGTCACTCCAGCTGACAGCTGAACGACAGCTCTGCGGAATTGCTCTGTACCGATCTAGTTTTTCTGATCACGGGCGCGTGAACGCGGCACCGAACCCCCTTGCCCTCCGCCGTGCCTCCCGGGAGCACACGAAAGTGGCGACCCTCACGCAGCTCGCAGCCCTCGACCCTGGGGGCGGCGCCGGAGGCCTCCTTCCGGGCGTGCGGGCTCAGAGAGCGGCCTGACCGAGGGCCACGGAGTATTGGTATCGGTACTTTTTGCTCCACCCAGTCTCCACCTCAATGCTGCTGCTCACGTGCCAGCCTCTGTGAAACCCCGCTACGTGTCCTTCTCGGTGAAACTCCCACACGTGGGACCGTCAGAACCATTCGGGATGAAGAACAGGTCCTGGGGAATGGGTCGAGACCTCTGGGGGCCCACGTTATGAAACAGTCAGGGTGTCGGGGGCTCGGGGTTTGGAGTAGTGTGGGACCAGCTCGGGGGGCACACATCGAGGTGGAATTGGCGATAGATCGCCGAGTGTTCCGCCGCCACCGCTGGAGCCCTTGCCCTCACAGAACTCCGACGGCGCGACTTCCTCGCAACGTGACCCCCCAGAGGTCTGGCCCCCCTCGGGACGGCTTCTCATCCGGAGTCGTCTTTTGAGGGTCCCCAGGCCCGTGGTCCATTCGCCCCTCTTACATTCTTCTCGTAGCATGGTGCGCTCTGCCTGCCCCCAGGTCGACCACATCCTGAGCTTTTTTGAAAAGGCCGACGTGTGCCTGGAGCGGGCCACGGCCCAGAAGCTCCTGTGCGCGGTTGACAAGGAAGCTGGAAGAGGGCGCCTTTTACTTCACATTCCTTCGGCTACTACCCGGTAGACTTGCTAGCAGTGGTTGCCTCTTTGTGATACACTGTGCTGCTACTTCTTACTAAATTGCCACCGCCGTTGCTTCGCTTCTCTGTCTACTCCTTGGCCTACTCATTCCCCTTTCTACTCCTGCTCGTTACGTCTTCCGTCGGCCCCTCTGGGAGACAGTTTTATATCGCCTTAAAGCAGCACCCAGGTCCCTTCTCGTCCTCCTCCACATCCACCTCCTCCTCCTCCTCGTTCACCACTGGCTCTCCCTTCTCGTAGTCCCCTTCTTTGTCCTGCTCTTTCCACTCATGTTCCTCCTCCCACTCCTGCTCATCCTCGCGCTCCCATTCTCCATTCCAACGGGATTCTAACGTATAGCTAGAATCCCACGCATGTACGAATTCTAATGTTCTGGTCTATGACTATACTTAGTTCCTGCTCCTTCTGTTGTTCCTGCTCGTACTTCTACGGTCTGTGCTCCTGTTCGCATTCCTACGCGTAACACGGGGAAGTCACAGTCCACATTGATCTTCAGCTCTCCTTGATGGGGGCTCACTCTGATCTTCAACTCTTCCAGGGAGCAGGAAGGGGCTCCGCATCATAGGTCGTATCCCCGTCCTTCTCAGAGTGTACTCATTCCCACCCCTCCTCTCATTCACATGTTGTCCTTTCTAGCCTTAGGTAGGGAGTGATCCACTGACGCAGACGATTGCAGACCGAGTCATGCTTGCGCTGGACCCCGTTTGCCTATTGTACGAGATTGCTCAGACATTACTCAACCGAGCTGAGTCAACACCACGTTTAAGCCAAACGCAATACCGATATTCTTAGTGCCCCCATCCCATCTTGGAGAGAACTTACGGCCGGTTCGACCGTCCCTTAAGGAGGTCTTTTAGAGGCTCGGTGTGTGTCGCGATCGAGAGACTTGTTAGAGGTATTTCTGATGTTTATTGAAGCGTATTGGGATCATCTTGCGATCCTCGGAGGGAATTATTTGGGGGTCTTTGCGGGGCGTCCTGGGAGTCTCCGAGGAGATCGGGTTCCCCTCTTGAGGGGCTTCTTGGGATGTCGTGGTGCCCTCTCGGGCTGTTTGGGGGCCCTGTTGGAGACCACTTGGGCTGTTTTCGGGCGGACTTGGGGGCCTGTTGGGCCGTCTTGGGCGGTCGGAAACCCAGAAAAGCGAGAACGCGAAAGTTGATCAAACTCGAGCTAGCCCCTGGACTCAGCGGCCGTGGCCGCCCTGGCGCCTCTCGGACAGCTGGCGAAGGCGCTGCGGCGCGGGCGGTTCCCCTGAGTGCTCTGGCGGGCAGCGGAGGTCGCCGTTGTTGGCGGGCACGGTCGCGGCCAGGGCTCGCGTTTGGTCGCGACGCGCAGTGTGGCGGAGCTGCAGTTTGGCTGCGACGTGAAGTGCTGGCGCGGCGCCCCGTCTGCCCCAGCAGGGTGGCGGCCTGCCGATTGCCCGCTGCAGGACATGCGCGACGTGCTTCTCGCAGCCTGGGCGCGGCGCGAGGCCCGCGCGCTTGCTGCCCGGCGCGCGGACTTCGCGCATGTCGGCGGCGGCGTGGACCGCTGGGCCACGCGACGAGATTTGGAGAGCGGCGCGCTTGCCCCATATGCCGCCAGCACGCTCCGCGTGATGTTGATTGGCAACGTCATCGCCGACTCGGCGGCGGCCAAGTGCGGCAAGTCAGAGCGCTGCCCTCACTGCGGAGCTCGATGCCAGGACCGGCAGCATCGCTTTTGGGATTGCCCGCGGTGGGCCGGCAGCAGGCGCGCGGCCTTGGCGGCGGGGGGGTTTCGGCCGTCGCCCTGAGGGCCCGCCTCCCGCCAGGGGTCGCAAAGTCCAGCGTGCTCCCGCTCCACGGCCGCTTGGCCGCCCTCGCCGACGCCGCCCGCGCGAGCGTCCCGGCGCCTGCGCTCCTCGCGCTGCTGGCTCTTGTCCCGCTGGCCAAGGGCGCGACGCGCTGCCGAGATTGGACCGATGGCGCCTGCGTGCGCCCGACGGACCCTTTGCTGGGCCGCGCCAGCTGCGACCTGCGCTTTGAGGATGCCGCAGGCGTGCGCACCGATCACAGCGGCGGGGACGGGGCACAGACTGCACAGCGTGTCGAGTCAACGGCGGCTGCGGACGCGCTCCAGCCAGTCGAGGTGGTGACGGATTCGCTGCACGTCCGGAGCGGAGTCTGCGCAGTCCAGCAGGGGGCGTTGACGCGAACGTGGTCGCATGCCGACATGTGGGGCTCGTTGAGCCTAACGGCGCGGTGGATAAAAAGGCCACCTCGACGAGGACGGCGCAGCGCCGCGCGTGGTGTCAGCCGGGGAATGGCTGGGCAACGCCGCCGCGGACCAGCTGTCAGGGACGGCAGCTTCCGCGCGCATGCCGCTGGAAGACCTTGCGCAAGCGCGCGGGGTCGCGCTGCACGCCTAAGACGCTGGAGTGGTTGCTGGCTACTGTCGAGTTGGCGGCGCTCAAGGCCAACCACAGCAGTTCGGGCAGGCGCCACCGCGCGTGTGGCGCCGCTGGGCGGCGCCTGGACCAGGGCTATGCGTGCCCCGCGTGGGCGGGGATGCGGAGGTGGCCGCAGCAGCAGCCCCGCGGGCGCCGCCAGGGCCGTCCGTCGCGGTTCCGCGCCCAAGCCAGGTAGCCGCGGTCCGCGCGCTCTTCGCATGCGGCGCCTGACGGGTGCACGTGGCGTCGCAGGGGCCAGGCTGGGTGGCCGACTGCATGCGGTGCGGCTGCTGGGCCTGGCCGCGGCCGGCACAAGGCAAGGACACCAATCTGTGGCGTCCCAAACCCGGATAGCAGGGCGCCAGGAAGGCCTTCTGACACTTTTCGAGGAGCGCTGAAAGCTCTTGGATGGAGCTTACGAAGGAGCTTCTGGAAGGCTTGGCGGCACACGTATTGGGAAACAGTTAGAAAAGGCCTCTGCTGGAGCACGCTGCCATCACACGCAGCCTGCTGCGAGTTGTCCTGCCAGAAGGTGGAACGAGCTCTGGGGTTACCTTGCGGGGCCGGCTCCTAGTCTCACAACTTGTCAGCTCTGTACGAGATATAAAAAAATCGGTGCACGAGATGCTGGCGAGCGGGCCTTGCGCCGGCTGGGCGCCGGTGCTGCCGCCGCGCGCAGCAGGCCGCAACTCTTGCTCCCAGCAGCGCGCGCGGGAGGAGGCGGCTCGGCGAGCCGCCCTGCAGTCACGCATCGCGGCACGCCTAGGGGCGCCTGACTGGGCGCCGCGGCGGGCCGTGCTGCCGCCTCACGCCCAGCCTTGCTCTGCCTCCCTCCCTCCCTCCCTCCCTCCTCCCCTCCTGCTCCTCGACCTCCTCCTCCTCCTCCTCCTCCTCCTCACCCTTGTCATGTCCGCTTCCACCACTAAGTCGTCTTCTCTTCAAATGCTGGAATAAATAGAAATTCGCCGTTTGAAAAAAAATGAATTCCCTGTCAAAAAAAATGAATTATTAACATCAGTGAAAATAGCAGTAATCATGTAACACCTTTTTTGCCTCGTTGGGAATTACTGAATTGAATATTTAGCGCGCGGCAGACCAGGAGAGAAGTATTCACAATGAGCGCGCAAAGGTTAGCGGCAGAAGAGGAGAGCAGCATTCGCAATAAGTGAGCAAAGGTGCATGGAGATCGATTCCATCGGCGCATGGTTGTTTGTAATGTGTTGCGTTTCGCTCGCTGCAGAGCCTTTTCGGGCCATGGATCCTTCGGATCTAGTGCTCGCGAGCAGCTCCGCGGGCAGCGCGCGCCATGCCCTCCAGGCGCTCCCTGCCGTCAGCGGCAGCAGGCGCAGGCATGCCGTGTCGCCAGAGCAGCGCGGCAGGATGATGCGGGACGCCAAGAAGCTGAAGCGAGCTCAGGCGTCTGCGCGCTCCTTTCTAAGGGGAGGAGGGCGACGACGTGGATGAGGAGGAGGAAGGCGATGAGGAATTGGGAGTGGGGAAGGAGGAAGAGGAGGAAGGCGGGGAGGAAGAAAGGGGACGGACGAATCTCGCCCCGCCCCCCCCCCGCACGCTTGCAGGCGGAGCTCGGCGCCGCCGTGGAGTCCAACGCCGCGCTGGTGCGGGCGTGGGACGCCGACAGGCTGCGCAGGGCGGCGAGCAACGGAGGAGGGGGAAGGAGGTGGAGGAGGTGAACGGGAGGCCCAAGAGGGTGAAGGGGATGAAGGAGGTGAAAAGGCGAATGAGGTGGAGGTAAAGGAGGCGCAGGAGGCGGAGGGGAAGGTGAGAGGGGGAGTTGAAGGGGATGGAGGATGTGCAGAGAGTGGGGTCCTCCTCCCTCCTCCTCCTCCTCCTCCTCCTCTTCCTCCTCCTCCGCCCCCTCTTCCTCTTCCTCCTCCTCCTCCTCCTCCTCCTCCCCAACCTGCCCCTTCTCCTTGCCCTCCTCCTCCTGCCCTTCCTCCTCCCCCTCCTCCGCCTTCTCCTCCTCATCCTCCTCCTCCTGCCCCCCGCTCCCCCCCTTCCATCGTCGTCGACGTCGCCGTTGCCCCAGTCGACTTCGCAGTTTGTTGTCGACCTAGCCGTCCTCGCCGTCGATGTCGTTGGCGTTGCTGGAGTTGTCGTCGTCGCCCTTCGTGTTCGTTCTAATCGTCGCCCTCCTTCCGCCTCTGCGCCCGCGACGCCATCCGTCTCCGGCAGGCTGCGCAACGGCGACAAGATTGGCCGGGACGTGGACGACCAGGATCAGGCCCACCCGAACTCGTTCAGCTTGTCTGGAGTCCTGCAGACTGCGTGGCGCCAGTTGGGCAAATCTCGGGCCGATCTTCGTGGCGACATCGATGGCTCGAGTCGAAACTTAGCTATGTTGTGGGTTGCCAGCGAGGCCCTCTGGACTACGCAGCAACAGTGGTGGAGGGAAACCATGGATGAGATATCGGATGCCAACGTAAGCCTCGTGGTAAATCTATTTTATGATGCGTCTCCCAACAGAGTCAGGTTCGGAGGTCTTCAGAGCCAGCTTCAACCTC